GATTTAAATGGAGGCGTGTCAGGGGAGGAGTCTCAGCTCCACCTTCATCAGGATGTATAAAGGAAAGGAGCGCAGGAACCTGTGTGCTCACAGTTTTATACATCTGAATATTTTGGTGTAGAGCACTTTTCTGAATTTGTCCTTACGTCAATTTTTAGTGTGAAAGCTGCGAAATCCTTTATGCATGAGGGCCCAGGAGTCCGACACGTGTAAACTCTCTGACATCTTTGAAGCAGTTTTGTCCTCTGTAGTGTGTTTAATTAAACAACATGAGCTCCAGCTTCATCTGAACATTCATGTTTTTTTTTTACTTTAGATCTGCAGCTGAATATTTCCAAAGTAACCAGCAGACTACAGCTGGTCAAAAATGGTGTATTTAACTTCAGCCTCCTTCTCAATCAATCCATCAATGATCTACAAACCTTTCCTAAAGGTGAGACTGCTGATGTATGGACTGTTGTAATAAATATGAAACAGATTGATTTATGCTAACTGTATTCCTCAGGTTCAATGGTGTCACTTCAACAGGCTCAGGATCAGACTGCAGCAACTCGCTCTGACATTAAGGAGTCACTGCTTCAGCTGCACAGACTCACACAGCAGCTGCAGAATTCTTCTTCTGTAGTGGATCACACTAACACCACAGTGAGGGAGACAAACCACCTGATGGCTCACACACAAACTGCAGGTCTGCCAGCAGCAACACTAACAAACAACACATTAACAACTTCAAACAAGACAATAACACTTCCTCTTCCTGCTTTGCTCAGTCAATGAGGTGCAGCAAAAGCTCCAAGATGCTGAGCACCGTACACGACATCTGATAGAGAAAATAAAGCCGCTGAGCATGCTGGGAAATATGCTGAAGAAGAACCTCTCCAACATCAGAGAACTAATTGATCAGGCCCGAAAACAGGCAGCATTGGTAAGCCCTTACCTTTTTTCTATGAGCAGCATTTTTCTATAACTTCAGTACTGTCCTGATGATGATGATGACTATGAAACTGTGATGTCATCAGATAAAGGTAGCAGTCCAGGCYGACAGAGACTGCGTTCGATCCTACAGACCTCAGATCCAGTCCAGTAACTTCAACACTCTGAGTCTAATGCTGAAGACCTCCAGTCCAGATAACCTGCTCTTCTACCTGGGCAGCAACACTACAGTATGCACACACACACACACACACACACACACACACACACACACACACACACAC